TTATTCTCTAGGGTCACACTTTAAAATATCCTACCCCCTTATGATTTAATTAGTTATAGTTATAATAGTTGGTAATCTTGCTATTATAGAACCCCATCAAAAGAAAATTATCAAAAAGTCTCAGTTCAAAGTTATATGAATATTTATAAAACACACCAAAAGGTCCAGAAAGAAGCTACATTAAATATGCTAAAATGTGTTTTTATACTGGCCACAAATGTGAGAGAAAAGAGTACACTTTATGCATTTCATGTGAACTTTTAATACTTTGTTTCTGTCTTCCCAATTTTTAACAAATTATTAAAAGCTTCCACTTTGCTATTTAGAAGTGCCGTTGAGTCGTTTCCGACCCATAGCGACCCTATATAGGGTTTCCGAGGAGCAGCTGTTGAGCGTGAACCGCCGACCTTGCAGTTCAAACGACTTTGTAGTAGTCTGGCGCATTAACCCACAGCCACTTCAGGACTCCTCTCCTTTAGAACGTGTTCTGTTAAATCACCCAAATCCTCTCATACAATAATGTGCACTTTTATAAACGGCAACCAATACTCAGAATTCTGGAAATTTTCTTTAAGGTACACAAAGTCAAATGAAAGTACAAATGTCTGAGTGTCTCAAACTGGGCAGATCTTCTCTCCAGGAGGTCTCTTCCTAGAGGATCTGATGTACTATAAACTTTGAAAGGAGAAATATTTTTTTACAATGGGTTATGGAATTAGAAAGCACAATTTATATAAATACAAGACTACGTAATGTCAATATCAAAGGAAGTCTGAGCAGTAACTTTAACAAAAAGCACTGTGAAAAAATGTAAAGGACTATTCAAATGACAAATAAGGACATTATCACCATGATCAAGTTTCAGAATCTCTGGATCTACAGAATCTCATATAGCCTCAGGATTTATCAGTGCAGAGTCCCATTTTCTCAGATCTATCTGGTAAGGGAAATTAATTGCCTAATGCTAGGAAGATGTGTTAATAACAATAGATTAAACTCCCCAAAGTGGATTTTTTAGAAGTGTTCTGAAAACACCACCCTCAAACCCAAAGCCTCCTCTCAAGAGGAAAAACTCTTTGTGCATTTAATAGCCCTATAAGAACAGCTGGTAGAATGGTGGGCTACATACCGAGCTGATAACTGTTAAGGTCAGCAATTTGAGTCTACCAGCTGTTGCAGGGAGAAAGATGAGGCTTTCTGCTCACAAGACTTACCGTCTCAGACACCCTATACATGGTCACTGTGAGTCAAAACCCACTCCAAGGCAGATATCCGTAGCCATAATAACCCATGAAAGAAAAATTGTCAAATAAGGGCTCGAAAATCTCCACATTAATAAT